ATAACCTAGACAAATAGGTCCGGAATCAGAGCATTAAACAACCGACTGTTAAGAAAGCGGGGATTAAGGTGCTAACAGCTCGATCTTGCAAAAACAAATAATACATTCACACAAACAGGAACAAACACACACAAACTCCTATAAATAAGCTGTTTTGCTCATTATTTGCGGACGCGAAAGCAACGTTCATACTTAATGTGTAATAGACTTAAATAGTCTGCCCTGAATCTCGTAGAAATGAGGAAGATATAATTAAATATTTTGAGGTGCATTTAAATACCTTGACAACGTCATTGGGACGAGGGATGAGAGTCTGGGTGGAGGTTGATGCAATATCGGTGAGGAAGGTCAAGACAGGCCCAGCAGACCATGTCAAATGGAACGATAAGGAAGACAGAGTATAGATTCTTGGTTGGCTTCCACAAGAAGGGGAACAGGAGCCCGCCGCTCGGACGGACACCGTTTTAGCGACCTGGATGGGCGCTAAGGAGCAGAGCAAGCAACCAGTTGAAGGGGCAGAGCAAGCAACCAGTTGAAGGAACAGAGCAAGCAACTAGTTGAAGGGGCAGAACAAGCAACCAGTTGAAGGGGCAGAGCAAGCAACCAGTTGAAGGGACAGAACAAGCATTGATGGTCACCGGAGTGCAATCAAGTGTGTATAATCGTGTCGACGAGGAACCTATGAAGACTAAATAGGCTCACAAGAACATAATATTGCCTGAGAGCTAATATATTTTTATTGTATTTATATATACAAGAGTTGTTACATTCTTGTAAAGCCACTAGTACGCGTATTGATTCGGGCAGGTCCTTAATCATATGTTCGCCGGAATACGACCCGCCAAATCGTTTAACAACCAGGTACTCATTCACTGCTGGGTGAAAAGGGGCCTACAGCTAAGAGTTGGCGCCCAGTCAATCCTCCCCGGCCAGGATATGTACCCAGGACAAATCGCTACTATAGCGCCGTGCGAGTGTGTTACCACTGCGCTTATATCCATCAAGAATCCCCAACCCCGTCTTACATAGGCAGACACACACACACACACACGCACACACACACACACACGCACACACACACACACACACACGCACACACACACACACACACACACACACACACACACACACACACACACACACACACACACACACACACACACAAGGATGAACAATTCAACACTGGTGGGACGCGAACAAGGGGACACAGGTGGAAGCTGAGTACCCAAATGAGCCACAGAGACGTTAGAAAGAACTTTTTCAGTGTCAGAGTAGTTAGTAAATGGAATGCACTAGGAAGTGATGTGGTGGAGGCTGACTCCATACACAGTTTCAAATGTAGATATGATAGAGCCCAGTAGGCTCAGGAATCTGTATACCAGTTGATTGACAGTTGAGAGGCGAGACCAAAGAGCCAAAGCTCAACCCCCGCAAGCACAATTAGGTGAGTATACACACACACACACACGCACACACACACACACACACACACACACACACACACACACACACACACACACACACACACACACACACACACACACACACACACACATACACACACACGCACACACACACACACACTCACACGCACACACGCACACACACACACGCAAGTGCAAGAAACTTTTACAAATACAATATTTTGTTAATCCCTTCTGATAAATATTTCCTGTTTAATAACAAGTACACAGAAGACCTTAATACACTTGTACAATATTTATTTTGTAATATATTTTAGCTATTTATAAAAACAGATGAACCTCACTATAGCGGTAACCTAGTTGTAGCGCCTACCTGCCTGTAGCGGCAAGTTCACAATGGAGTAACATGCCTATTTCGGTGACCTAGCTGTAGCGGTAACCTCTCTATAGCGGTAACCTGTCTATAGCGGTAACCTGTCTACAGCGGTAACCTAGCTGTAGCGGTAACCTGTCTATAGCGGTAACCTGTCTATAGCAGTAACCTGTCTATAGCGGTAACCTGTCTACAGCGGTAACCTAGCTGTAGCGGTAACCTCTCTATAGCGGTAACCTGTCTATAGCAGTAACCTGTCTATAGCGGTAACCTGGTTGTAGCGCCTACCTGCCTGTAGCGGCAAGCTCACAATAGAGTAACATGCCTATTTCGGTAACCTAGCTGTAGCGGTAACCTGTCTATAGCGGTAACCTAGCTGCAGCGGTAACCTGTCTATAGCGGTAACCTAGCTGTACCGGTAACCTCTCTTTAGCGGTAACCTAGCTGTAGCGGTAACCTGTCTATAGCGGTAACCTAGCTGCAGCGGTAACCTATCTATAGCGGTAACCTAGCTGCAGCAGTAACCTGTACATGGCGGTAACTTCTCTATAGCAATAACCTGTCTATAGCAGTAACCTGTCTATAGCGGTAACCTCTCTATAGCAATAACTTGTCTATAGCAGTAACCTGTCTATAGCAGTAACCTGTCTATAGCGGTAACCTGTCTATAGCGGTAACCTAGATGTAGCGGTAACCTGTCTATAGCGGTAATCTGCTTGTAGCGGCATCTTGACTATTGCGGTAAACCATCTGTATCGGTAACTAATATATGGTGGCATTCTGTTTGTAACGGCAACCTTTCTATAGCGGAAAGCTGTATGTAGCCGCGACCTTTCTGAAGCAGTAGTCTGACTATAGCGGCAACCTGGGTCTAACGATAACCCTCATTGTAACATTATACCGACTGTCAGCGTAAACTTCTGACTGTCAGCGTAAACTTCTGACTGTCAGCGTAAACTTCTGACTGTCAGCGTAAACTTCCGACTGTCAGTGTAAATTACCGACTGTCAGCGTAAACTACCGACTGTCAGCGTAAACTACCAACTGTCAGCGTAAACTACCGACTGTCAGCGTAAACTACCAACTGTCAGCATAAACTACCGACTGTCAGCGTAAACTACCGACTGTCAGCGTAAACTACCGACTGTCAGCGGAAACTACCGACTGTCAGCGTAAACTACCGACTGTCAGCGTAAACTACCGACTGTCTGCGTAAACTACCGACTGTCAGCGGAAACTACCGACTGTCAGCGTAAACTACCGACTATCAGCATAAACTACCGACTATCAGCATAAACATCTGACAGTCGGTGTATACCCTGTCAACAGATATTTCTGGAGTTGAGTGTATACTTTTGGCCATCAGCTTAAGCATTAATATCCGGATGAAAAAGGTCGTCCAGTGCAGCTGAAGCTTAACCCATGTTATCAAGAGATTGTGAATGATTGCACCAAGAGATTGTGAATGATTGTACCAAGAGATTGTGAATGATTGTACCTAGAGATTGTGAATGATTGTACCGAGAGATTGTGAATGATTGTACCGAGAGATTGTGAGTGATTGTACCGAGAGATTGTGAATGATTGTACCGAGAGATTGTGAGTGATTGTGCCGAGAGATTGTGAATGATTGTACCGAGAGATTGTAAAGGACTGTACCGAGATTGTGGACGATTGTATCGAGAGATTGTGAATGATTGTACCGAGAGATTGCGAATGATTGTACCTAGAGATTGTGAATGATTGTACCGAGAGATTGTGAATGATTGTACCGAGAGATTGTGATTGATTGTACCTAGAAATTGTGAATGATTGTACCGAGAGATTGTGAATGATTGTACCGAGAGATTGTGAATGATTGTAGATGACGGAGAGAGAGAAGACACAATAGACAGCGAAGAGAATACATAGGGCATCGTGAATGGCATGTATAGTCTGTTTCAGGGCGATTGTTGCCTATATCTTTGGGCGATTGTAACCTATTTCAGGGCGGTTGTAGGCGATGAATGGCAGCGAATGTAGTTGATCTCAAAGATAAAGTCTCAGATTACAACAGCCAGTGACAGCTTAGTTTAGAGAGTGAATAACAGGTTATTACAGAATGTGAGTAACAGGGGAGGAATTATTCAGGATGAATAATGGGTTATTAGAGAGAGAATAATGGGTTATTTTAGAGTGAGGAATTGGTAAATTTTAAGAACATGACAATTATTTGTTGGAAAAATTTAGAGAGTATACAAATGGTCATTTAAAAGATAATGTGGAGAACTTTGAGCAGCTGATTTAGAGCTCGTAGTATCTATTTTAGAGCTATTAGTATCTATTTTAGAGCTATTAGTATCTATTTTAGAGCACGTAGTATCTATTTTAGAGCACGTAGCATCGCTTGTGGAGCGAGCAGTATACATTTTAGAGCACGTAGTTTATTTCTAAGAGTACATATCTCTTTTAGAGCACGTAGTATCTATTTAGTATCTATTTTAGAGCAGGTAGTATTTATTTTAGAGCAGGTAGTATCTACTTTAGAGCAGGTAATATCTATTTTAGAGCAGGTATTATCTATTTTCGAGCAGGTGGTATCTATTTTCGAGCAAATAGTATCTATTTTAGATCATGTAAGAGATATTATAGATTAAGTATCAGACATTTTAACCCACGTTGTAGGTATTTAAGAACACCTGAAGCTAAGGACACTGCGAATGTTTTTTATTTTTTTTAAGTGTTGACGTTTAGACACCTGACGTGTTTTGTGCGCAGTTGCGTCCTGGAGCCAGCTGTTCGGTATAGCCAGCTGCGTCATGGAGCCAACTGCTCCGAGGAACCAGCTGCTCCGAGGAGCCAGGTAACTCCTCATTAACGCCTTACCAGAAACACTGTTTGAACTACTTAACAGAATCATCCCCCCCCCTAACAACTATTTAATGCTGTAGTGTAAGGTAGTTCGTCATTGATTTTTTTTGCGTCCTATTTTCCGTCTAAATAAAATAAATGTAACTGTCGAGTAGATTATCTGACTGTAGACAAGTATCTTTAATACCGTTGACCTGTCAACTTTGATTAAGAATGATAACGTATAAAAGTGACACCATAAATTTTGCTTTTGTCTACGTCAGCATACAGTGTCAAAAAGAGATATATATATAATCCACGGAAACCCAAGAGCTGAAAATCTCAACAAGAGACGGTGGGGAAAAGAGCCTTACCTGCTAAAGCCACGTGGGTCCAGAGGCAGAGGGCGACGGACGCCATCTTGGACCACCCACAAGATTTCAACGTCGATGGCTTCATGTTCACGGTCTTCTCCTCCTCTGTGTGTATATATATACAGGCTTCCTGGTATATTTCTCCCGCGAGTCCTGTATGCTTTTCGGTAATTACGTTCACTGTCGGTAGTGCTGAACTACTGATCACTGAGGGCGGTTACTCAGCGGTTCTGAGCCGGGTTTGTGTGTACCTTTCTCTTAGCAAAACATTTACCGCGTGTAATGCAATTTTGATTTATCTGGTTTTGAATTCAATTTACGTGTGGTAGAGAGGGAAGGAACATGGAACTAATCGATAACGCACAGGTAGGGCGGTGAGGTCCCACAGCACACGGGGTGGGCGTGGGCGGCACCGACACACCGCGTGGGCGGCACTAACACATGAGGTGGGCGTGGGCGTCACCGACACACTTGGGGTGGGCGGCACAAACACAAGGGGTGAGCGTGGGCGACACCGACACAAGGCGTGGGCGTGGGCGGCAACAACACACTGGGTGGGCGGCACCTGCACACGGGGTGGTCGTGGGCGGCACCTACACTAGGGCTGAGCGTGGGCGGCACCTGCACACGGGGTGGGTGTGGGCGGCACCCACACACGGGATGGGTGTGGGCGTGGGCGGCACGAGCAATAAATACCCTGAAGAGAGCAGAGGACCAGATGCGTGTGAGTACTCAGCTCCTGGGCCGGTTCAAGTAGGCTCTGCTTAGGAGCTCAACGCCGCTCTTAACAACCCAAAAACTCAATTTCCAGCTTCAACTATGATCACGTGACTCCTCGCTAAACGCAACTGGCCTAGACAGCTGTGCGTATCTCCGATGATTCTTTGACGATTTGTTGATCAACTTTCAGAGTGATTCCAGCCTGTGGTATTTTGACCTCTCTGAGCATCGTGTTAATCATCACATGTCAAGCTTGATAAGCTTTAGCAAGCCAAGTTTGCCACCTAAGCTGTCACAAGCTTAGCGCGCCAGCTGCCAACAACCTTGACAGATGGTGACAGACTTGGCAGGTTTGTCCCACACACGCAGTTGGACTAAAAAGCCAGACTGGGCGTTGCTTTAAATGTTTCATTTACAAGTGACATGTCTCGCTAAAAGCCACGCAAAAGATGACTCTAAATCAGCAAGCATAGTATGTCATATATTATGGCGGTATTAAATCCATGGAGGCTGAAATGTTGAGTCGCTAAAGACGGTTGGGCATGAGTAGCGAGTCACCAGGCCAGCGCTTATGGCGGCGTCGGTGGGGGAGCGAGTGCTAGCAGAGCGAGTAACCAAATGTCCCGCGCGCTGCGGCGGCCAGGAGGACACTAGTGACTGACTCCGCCCATCAACCTAAGCGACCCAACAAGCTCCGCCCCCCTCCCCCCTCCCCCGGGACACGAAACGCATGCGCACTCGGCACAGCTGACACGACGCACCTGTAAATGTCATTACCTGAAGGACCACGACACGAGGCACATGGCGGAAAGTGCAGGACCAACCGAAAAAAATCTAATCTCTATATAGATCTATCCTAATTTTGAGAATAAATAAAGGCTTTCAACCAGAGAGTTTAAATAATTGTAATAAGGTGGATAATGTTCCCAATGGGCTAGATTTTTGGTAATTTCTATGAGTTTCTTGGCCAGCCAGTACGAGGCTCGATAACATGTTTGTGTACACTATGACCCTGGCCATCAGAACACCATTCTGATGCCCAGGGCCATAGTGGCTTGTTCAGGACCATTCAGACTTGTTCGCATTTGTGTTCCTCATGTGTGCCCCAAAGAATGAGGTGATTTGATAAAATACCATGCCCAAGATTACCAACCGAGTGCCGGCGGGGGGATGTAAATAGCCTTGGCTACCATCCTCTTTTGTCCAGTCGTGTTGGTCGAGCGGTTAAGGGATCCTGTACGCCAGCAGAGTATTCCTGGCAGTATGGGTTCGAGTCACTTCTGAGGGTGTGAATTTTCAGTTGCATATAGTCCAGGGGACCATTCAGGCTTGTTCGCATATATATATATATATATATATATATATATATATATATATATATATATATATATATATATATATATATATATGTCGTACCTAGTAGCCAGAATGCACTTCTCTGCCTACTATTCAAGGCCCGATTTGCCTAATAAGCCAAGTTTTCCTGAATTAATATATTTTCTCAATTTTTTTTCTTATGAAATGATAAAGCTACCCATTTCATTATGTATGAGGTCAATTTTTTTTATTGGAGTTAAAATTAACATGGATATATGACCGAACCTAACCAACCCTACCTAACCTAACCTAACCTATCTTTATAGGTTAGGTTAGGTTAGGTAGCCGAAAAAGTTAGGTTAGGTTAGGTTAGGTAGGTTAGGTAGTCTAAAAACAATTAATTCATGAAAACTTGGCTTATTAGGCAAATTGGGCCTTGCATAGTAGACTGAGAAGTGCATTCTGGCTACTAGGTACGACATATATATATATATATATATATATATATATATATATATATATATATATATATATATGTCGTACCTAGTAGCCAGAACTCACTTCTCAGCCTACTATGCAAGGCCCGATTTGCCTAATAAGCTAAGTTTTCATGAATTAATTGTTTTTCGACTATCTAACCTACTTAACCTAACCTAACCTAACTTTTTCGGCTACCTAACCCAACCTAACCTATAAAGATAGGTTAGGTTAGGTTAGGTAGGGTTGGTTAGGTTCGGTCATATATCTACGTTAATTTTAACTCCAATAAAAAAGAATTGACCTCATACATAATGAAATGGGTAGCTTTATCATTTCATAAGAAAAAAATTAGAAAAAATATATTAATTCAGGAAAACTTGGCTTATTAGGCAAATCGGGCCTTGAATAGTAGGCCGAGAAGTGCGTTCTGGCTACTAGGTACGACATATATATATATATATATATATATATATATATATATATATATATATATATATATATATATATATATATATATATATATATATATATATATACACCCTACTTCCGAGTTCTATATTCATCCTATGTGGGTTACACAATACCAATATCTTGGAGTGTGAATTTATTGTAAAATGACATTCAACAAGCACATTAAATATCTGAATGAGAATGCAAAATCTCGCTTGAATATAATGAGAGTAATCACAGGGCCTCGTCTAGGAGCGGGACACAAAGTGATAAGAATGTTTTACATACACACTGTTCGTTCCCCCTAGTTGATTATGCAGCGTCTGCCTTACTCACTCTTTCTCCTGGCCAGTGGGCAAACGTTGAGGTTATTCTAAACGATGCAATTCGAGTCATAACTGAGGCTAGCATGTTGGCTAAAATACTTAGTTTAAGACCGGAAACCAAATTAACATCGGTTCAAACAAGGATAAAAGGGCTTGCTTCACATATGCTGGAGATACTGATTTGACCAAAACACAGTTCACGTAAGGAAATGGTCAATGAAGCACTCACTCTGGATAAAAGCGCCTTTAATAGCAACAGTTGAAGCTATTTTGCAGTAAACGATATCAATATATACAAGATAACAGACTTAAAATCACTTAAGAAACAAATAAATGTAGACTTCATTATGCAAGCCCTTTGGGAATCTCCGCAAGCAGACTTTAAGATAATGGCTCTTCAAAGCAAAACGATTCAGACTAACCCCAATTTGCTACGCATCATTGCACAGATTACTATAGAACTCAATTTGATATCTGACAGCTTCACATCCTTCACAGACAGATCCAATACAGATCCACTCTGCTTTAGACCACCAGAGACAAAAAGCTGGAGATGCAGTTAAGGCAGGAAATATTATAATTGATGGGAATTTCTAAAAAGGGTGCTCAACTTTACAGAGATGCGAGCCATTCTTGCTAAACACCAAGAACACGTTGTCATACATACAAATTAGAGAACTGCCACTGAACTCTTGAAACATGAACACTTAGGTGACAACATCCTTCTGACCGCACTTATCATTAATGCAAAGACTCAAACTTAGAGGTCGTTGGCGGCTTATCAGCTGTATGCCAAGTCATGTAGTAATTCCAGGGAAAGACATAACCGATGAAACTTCGAAGCTTTCAACTCTGGGGGTGAATATAGACATTTACATAGCACAGCGTGTAGCACAGATTAAGAAAATAATTAGAAATCGAGCAATGCATAACACAACAGCTGCAACACCAGGATCTGCGTATTGGTACAAGAATTCAACCAACTATGAACAACGTATTTAGATGAAAGGGTACAAAAGGAAACAGAAGTGCACTTTCATCGCATCTGGTCTGGATGCCAATATATATATATATATATATATATATATATATATATATATATATATATATATATATATATATATATATATATATATATATATATATATATATAAGGAAGAGGCTTATGGGTTCTAGAAGAAAAGAGGAAATGTCAATATTGTGGAAAAACATGCGACAAATCACTGGAACATTATCTAACAAAGTGAAGAGTTTCTGTGAGAAATTTTCACATGTAAGAAGGAATTAGCACCCAGTAACTGAAGGAACGTACATGGAATAACCAAAAATATGAGAAAAGAACATAGAGGAGGAGAGGCAAACGTTGTGTGGGCGGGTAAAAGACTCACAACATGAATGTTTCTGAGTATAGGCTGGTGTGAGGTCAAAAAATATCGCACACAAATATTTTTTGTTCCTGAACGTTGCCCATCAGACGACAAAAGTGCCTTAGTGGTGGAATACGTCTGCAGACTTAAGGCTAACTCTTGCCACTAAAAAAATTCACACCGAAAAAAAAATCGGGATCAAAAAGAACAATTTGGCAAAAACAAAAGAAGTTGAATGCAGGAAAGGATTATAAAAAGCACTTATTTTATTTTACAAGGTGATGGGGTTCAAAGACCTGGTGATGTGAAATCTAAGAGAACAATCGAGAAAATTGATGGTCATCTCACGAGAGAATTCAAAGTATAAGATAAAAGTTTGAGACAATTTTATATGTTATCCTGCGATGGAATTAATAAAAAAAAATAGTGTTTACTGACGTAATAAATAATAAAAGACCGGATATTATAGCAGTGTCAGAAACAAAGTTCAATGAAAAAAAATGAAGAGGAGGAATTTCTGAGAGGCACTTTGATATAAAGACGAGATAAAAAAAAAAACAGAAAAAGTTGAGGCATTAGTGTGTTAGCAAAAAAATATATATAAGCACAAAGGAATAAACATGCAATAATACATGGGAAATGGATAGTGCAGCAAATTAAATCCAAATCCTGACCTTTTAATCATGAATGCCTACAGCTGGCTAGGACGTAACACTTCCACAAGAGAGAAATTAAACGTTTCATTTCATATATGTTGGTTGGGTTATTGACTTTCAGCAACGTTATTGTGAATTATTCTCTGCTAGAGAGCAATTCAATTCAAATCGAGAGGAGTTTACAGGTATCAAGAGGAGTCTACACATAGCAAGAGGAAGATTATTTAGAGAAAGATGACTAAGATAAAGCCAGACTATTTGTAATAGGTAGCTAAAATAATCAATTGATTGGTATTTAAAAAAAAAAAAAATTGCCCCGAGGGGCGAGTTTATTTGGCAGCGCCACACATCTTGTGAGTGGACACACCGCCATAGTAGCATGTACAACACTCCCCAATAGGAAGAAAACCCGCTGGGTTGTTCATCCTGTCACTTGTACCCAGATACAGCTGGGACTTGCTTAACTGTCTCAAGTGAACAGCTCCTCAAACAAGAAGATTAACATCTATCAACCCTTAAAAGCTTACGTTATCTTGCGGGTGCAAAATGGGGGAATCTTTTAAGAACAGTATCAATATTTGACAAATAGGGATTGGATTGATTGGTATGTTTGTGAGCCAAGAAGCAATACTATGAGTCAAGGAACCTTGAACCTTGGATATACCAAAAAAATAAAGAAAGATATTTTCGATCGAAAAATACCTGCCTCCGTTAGGTAAAAACGAGCTTTTCGTGTCAGAAATTAAATACGACATTCATTATATAAGAAAATGGGAGATAACAGAGAAACTCGATTTCAAATGTCTACGCATTTGCAATGCATTATTAAGTTCGTTAATGGATATAATTGGCAATAGTTAATTGTTAAAGTGAGCATCAGACGGATGCAAAGCTGCGAAATGTTGATTGAATGGGCGCAGTTTTCATACCAAAACAGAGAGACGCGAGAGAAAAACAAAACTACTTAAAAGAAAGCGGCAGGAGAACAGGAACACAATAAATAAATAAAGGGATCAACAGAGAGAAGAGATCTCTCAACC